TAGAAATAAACTACAGCTAAATATGATAATATAGAAGAGTCATGGTAACATTATGAATGAAAAATGCAAGGCTCAGAAGATTACAAACACAAATTAGTAAAAGTAAAAAATAAGCAAAACTAAAATAATGTACTTTTAAAATTGAAGTATACTTGATTTACAATGTTATACAGCATAGTGATTCAGTTATACATATATATTCTTTTTCATTATAGGTTATTATAAGTTATTGAATATAGTTCCCTGTGCTCTACAGTAGGACCTTGTTATTCTAAAATAATATACTTTTAAGGTGCATGTGCACGCACATGCATATATACATACATGTGAATTCTTTAAGACTCCTTAAACATTTTTTTTAAGTTCTTAAAACAAGGGATTGCTAAATATCAGACTCAGGATAGCACCTTTCTATATGGGTAGGCAATGGATAAGGGAGGAGCATTTAGGTAGATGATGTAAGTTATCAGTAACTATTTCTTGGATTGAGTGGTAGGTTCTTGGGTATTCACTAGGTTCTTGATAAATAAATGAAAAGTTTAAAGGCCCGTGGATGGACCGCTGATGATGGTGTGTCATGAACTAAGGATTATGATTAATCCAATTCTATGTACAAGTTCAAAGAGAAGATACATTAGTAATAGCAATGCATGCTTACTATGTACCAGGCACTCTTCTAAGCTCTTTATACAGTCAGATGACACTCTAGTTGGTTGAATCCAAGGATGCAGAACCTGTGGATACTGAGGGCCAACTCTATGTTTTAACCCATTTAATCCTCCCAGTAAAGAGATTCTATGATTATTCCCATTTTATAGATAAGAAAATAAAAGCCCAGAGAGATTAACAGTAACTCTTCTGAGACCTACAGCAGAGCTGGGATTTAATCCAGGCTGGCTAGTTCCAGAGTTCATGCTCTTAACCATTGCCCTATAAAATGCCTAAATAAATTAAAGATATAATTACATCAGGGCTTAGTCATGTAAGAGAAATTATAGCAGAGGCTTTCCGTAACAGCGTTAGAGGATGAGCCACATACATAGCTCTTTAAATATACTAAAAACCACTGAATTGTATGCTTTAAATGGGTGAACTTTATCATATGTAAGTTATATCTTAATAAAGCTATTTAAAAAAAACCCCACAAACCACAAATAAGTGACTTTATAATGGACACTGTGTCCTAAATAATTGTTTGCTATTTTAGGGATTTCACATATGTCTGGGTAAAACACACGCTTTTTCTGCAGAGCAAACCCAAACAAACCTTACTGTCAGAAGACCATTCACTTTATGAAAGAAAATGAAGTGGAAAATTTTAATCCACTACCACGGGTGGGAAAAAAAATTTTAATTCCTAGCTTCAGGCCTTTTTACAGCTGCCAGGAAATCAAATGGCTCTCAGCTCCCAAGATAAATTTCATATTGCAAGAGTCATAATTTTCTCTGTGTGTATGGAGGAGACACAAACAATAAAACCTAGGAAGGAAGAGGGTGGAAAGAACATATTTGATTGAAAGCATACTGATATCTTTTAATTGCACAGCTTTCTTCCATGCACATAACTTTTATTTTGCTTTTTCTTTCAAATCTAAACAAATGGGATCTAATTAAACTTCAAAGCTTTTGCACAGCTAAGGATACCATCAACAAAATGAAAAGACAACCTACAGAATGGGAGAAAATATTTGCAAATTATGCAACTGACAAGGAACTAATACCCAAAATATACAAACAACTCATATACCTTAATATCAAAAAACCAAGTGACCCAATAATAAATGGGCAGAAGACTAAATAGACATCTCTTCAAAGAAGACATACAGATGGCCAACAAGCACATGAAAAGATGCTGAACATAACTGATAGAGAAATGCAAGTCAAAACTATGAGATATTACCTCACACCAGTCAGAATGGCCATCATTAAAAGTTTACCAACAATAAATGCTAGAGAGAGTGTGGAGAAAAAGGAACCCTCCTACAGTGTTGGTGGGAATATAAATTGGTGCAGCCACTATGGAGGACAGTATGGAGGTTCCTTAAAAAACTAAAAATAGACTTACCCTATGATCCAGCAATCCCACTCCTGGGCATATATCTGGAGAAAAATATAATTCAAAGAGACACATGCACACCAATGTTCACAGCAGCACTATTTACAATAGCCAAGACATGAAAACAACCTAAATGCCCATCGACAGAGGACTGGATAAAGAAGATGTGGTATACATATATATGTATGAATACTACTCAGCTATAAAAAGAATAGAATAATGCTATTTGCAGCAACGTGGATGAATCTCTAGATTGTCATTCTAAGTGAAGTAAGCCAGAAAGAGAAAGAAAAATGCCACTTGATATTACTTATATGTGGAATCAAAAAAAAAAAAAAAGACACAAATGAACTTATCTACAAAACAGAAACAGACTCAGACATTGAGAACAAACTTATGGTTACCAGGGGGTACAGATGGTGGCAGGGATATACTGGGAATTTGAGAATTGCACCTCCTGGGGAGTAATGGAAATGTTAGCTATCTTGATTGTGTTGATGGTTTCATGGGTGTATACATCTATCAAAACTCATCAAATTGTACATCTGATATATGTGTAGTTTACTGTACAGGAACCATACCACAATAAATGTGTTTAAAAAATTAAAAAATGAAACTTCTTTTGGATGGCCAGTTGTGCTGTGTCTTGGATGGCTCTCCTGCTGGGCTGTGTCTTCCAGGGCCTGTGTGTTGGTTGTACAGCTCCAAGGGGCCAACACTGATGCCAGAATGGACTGTGGCTGGAAGCTTTTCTTCAACACTCTTGCTTGGTTTTTGACAAGGCACTAAAAGGAGAGATCCACATGTTGCTATGATGCTCAAGGAATCTGTTGGCAGCTTAACTCTGTTTTCATGACCGCTGAAAGAGCCTCTTCACCCAGGTCAGTTATCCTCACAAATCTGGCCGTAGATCACAAGGAGACCAGATGAAAGCCTGGACTGGACCTCAACAACTCCATCACCAACACTAGAAAAAGTGTTCAAAGTCTTGGCCCTCTAAACCATCGGTCACTTTTATCCTCTCTCCGCCCTCTCTAAAGCACATGTGTGAATGTAGGCTGATACAACCTCACTAAGCCGCTTCATACTTTAAAGGATGAAAAGGAAATGAAAACAAAATAAATCACTTATTTGAATTATAGCTTGGATCAACATACCATGTCATTATTCAGTTCTGTCGTAGACATACACACACGAACACACTCCACAGATATATTTTGGCTCTGTTATCGATGATGGAATCCAGGCCTTTTCTGTCTACCCACTAAATTTACCAGTCCTTTAGATACCAGACAGGCTATCAGCCCCCTTAGATAAGCCTTCCTGCAGCAGCCACAGGTGGGCAGTAGCTTCCATCAAGCTCCCAGGTATTTCGAAAGGCAAGCCACTAAGTCTAGCAAAGCCCCGGGCACTGCTACACATTACTGGTACCAGCTCCCTGAATTCTCTCCCTCAATTTCTGTGCTCCCTCAATCCCTATCATGAAGTTTGGGAAACTATACTTATTTGGTCATTATTTTGGTTTTTTTTTTTGATCAGTAAGCCACCTAAGCACGTCAATTTAAGCCAAAAATAGTCATCCTGGAGTCTAATTTGGATTGGCTATAATACTGAGTAAGGTAATCAGATAATGACTTAACTTCAGTTTTGTGTTGTGTTAATGTAATCTTGAAACAGATGAAAACCCCCTATGTAGTTTTTTCTTTCAAATGTGTTTTTTTCTTTTCTTTTTTTTATTCCCTAACATATAGATTTTTATCTTTAAGTATCATTTCCCACTAAAAGGAATCAGAACTACTTGGGGAAATGCCTGATGCCATGTCTGGGGCTGAAAATGTACCAGATGAGCCTGGAACAAAATAATGAAGAGGGGGAAGAGAGGGAAGAGGGGGAAGAGAGTGTAGATGAAACAAAATTGACATTTGAAAATTGCTGAAATTGAGTGTTGGGTACAATAGAATTTTTTATAGTATTCTACTTTTGTATATTTTTTAGTTTTTCCATAAAAAGGTTTTTATGGAAAAATAATCGTTTTGAAAAAAAAACAGCAATAGCATACACACGGTAAAACAAATTTTCTATTAATAATGTAAAAAGGTATACAATGAAAACTTTGAGTCTTTCTCCAGACTCTCACCTTCCCCCTCCTCAGCATGATCTTAGTAATAATCTCCTAAGTGTTCTCAATTGTTTCTATGAATATATATCAAAAAATGTACATACATATATACATCATTTTAAGACTACAAATAGTAGCATGTTATACACATCGTACTATGCCTTATGAAGTTATTTTAATAGCCAGTTTTAACACACCACAACATCATAGATTTTTATGTTTTTACATATTGGGCTTCCTTCAAGCTTCTCTGATCTAATCAAGAGATAAAAGTCTCACATCTTCACCTTCCTCGAGATTATTTAATAAGCAGAAGGATGGCTAAAGCAGGGCTAACAGGTTGCAGTCCCTAATCTTAAGTTTCAAGTTTAGGTTTCAGTTTGGGGGACGTTTAAAAGTATCCCACATTCTCTACTATAGATTAAATCTTGAGAGGTGTCGTTGAGGAGAGGATCAACACAAGAATCCTATTTATCTCTGCTGGGGAAGACAGCAGAAAACCTAACCCCTGTGGTGAACTCAGCACTACCTCCATTCACCAGACGGTGAGCGGCCGGACAGAGGCTGTACCAGTTCTCATCTTCGTACAGACAATAAAGCACCTTGTACAAGTGCTTTATTGTCTGACACAATAAAGGTCTTCGGAAAGAAAGTTGGGTTTTAGAGCGGTTACTGAAAGAGCCAAGAAATGGATTCAGAGACAGCAAGGTGGCCGTTCTAGTGAGATCCAGTCTAGACTAAACGGGGGTGGCGGGAGGTACAAGAAGCCCACAGAAAAAAAGCGACACGTCTGCGTGGGGCGTTAAGTTTTACTCAATTATTTAACAGGGAGGGGGAATAGGGGTATCACATTAAAAAAAAAACCCAGCTATATTATGGGACTACAAAATCCAAACTCCACGAGAATTTGCAACATAAAACGGGAAGCCCAGACTTGTCCGCCGTGGCCCGACAGTCCCCGCCTAGCCCGCGGGAGGCGAAACTGGCAGCGTCAGTCAGTCCGCCGGGTTGCCTACGGGTACTCGGACGGGAACGGAGAGTGCCGAGGAGAGCCGACTCCCGAGCCAGGGCTGCTTCTCGGCTCCGCTGTTTCTCAGCTGCGGGACCCCAAGGGCCAGCGCCCGGCTTCCGCCCCGCCCGGGACGTTAGTGTGACCCGTGGCTTTGTGAACTGTGAACTCCGGGCCCCGCCTTCCCCGGAGGCTCCGGGCGGCGTTTTCTCGCCCACGGCGGGGTGGGGCTTTTTCGGGCTGTTCATGCGAGGCCAGAGAGGCTAAGGTGTCCGCTGGGCTCCCCGGGACGGCTTCCTGAGGGATTCGTAGGCCCCGACAGCCAGCAGGCCTGGCCGGCCTCTTGTTCCAAGCAGGTAGAAAGTAAGGACCCAGAAGTTTTGAGCTCTGAGGGCCAAAGTACAACCAACTACGCCGCGAGACCAAACTAACGCTGGAAGGGCGAACGCCAAAAACGCGGGGAGGCGGAGCTGGTTCCCGGTCACCATTTCGCGACGTCCAAGAGAGGTCGCAGAGCAAGCGCGTATTCTACTCTTTCACCTTCAGGGAGCCACCTCAGTATATGGGCCTACCTCTTTAAGCGAGTGATGGACAGTTATTTCATCCTATCAACTTCCTCGCCAACATCCAATCAGATTTAAATTTCTTTCAGCCGCCGGAGGAGTTGGAAGAAGGGGGTCGAAAGAGGGAGCCTTCTCTTTCTCGCGAGATCACTGTGAGCCGGCCTCTCAGAAAAAAACGCTAGCACTTATGACCCGACTTCCCAAATAGTAGATTAAAGGACGGGATCATAAACCAATGAAAGGGATGAGGAGGTGGGATCACTGCTTTCACTGCTCAAGAAGTACCGTTACAGGGCAGACTTTTTATCCAATCAACGCCTCCAGACTTCGGGTCAGGTGACCATAGAGTGCGAGGGGCGGAGCTACAGTCTGGCGCGAGGAACCGTTAAGATGGACAACGAATATAACCAATGAGGTACTCTGACTAGGGAGTTGGGAACCCAATAACAGTGGTCAGGCGGGCGCCTTCCCGGAGCGCGGGGAGATGTAAAGACAGACAAATAGTTTTCCCAATGAGACTGCAGAAGAGAGGAGATAATTGACCAATGGGGGCTGCGGGGCGGGACCCTTTGCCGCGGCGGAGTCCAAGATGGCGGCGTGCGGTTCCACTGTGTGAAGCGAGCGCGGGGCGGCGGGTTAATCAGCTCCGCGGAGAAGACCTCCGGCGACCCGCAACAATGAAGGGGAAAGAGCGCTCTCCAGTCAAGCCCAAACGTTCCCGTGGTGGTGAGGACTCGACTTCTCGCGGGGAGCGGAGCAAGAAGTTAGGGGGCTCTGGTGGCAGCAATGGGAGCAGCAGCGGAAAGACCGATAGCGGCGGCGGGTCGCGGCGCAGCCTTCATCTGGACAAGTCCAGCAGCCGAGGTGGTAGCCGGGAGTACGACACTGGTGGGGGCAGCTCCAGTAGCCGCTTGCATAGTTACAGCTCCCCAAGCACCAAAAATTCCTCGGGCGGGGGCGAGTCGCGCAGCAGCTCCCGGGGTGGAGGCGGGGAGTCACGTTCTTCTGGGGCCGCCTCTTCAGCTCCGGGCGGCGGGGACGGCGGGGAATACAAGACCCTGAAGATAAGCGAGTTGGGGTCCCAGCTGAGTGATGAAGCGGTGGAGGACGGACTGTTTCATGAGTTCAAACGCTTCGGTGATGTAAGTGTCAAAATCAGTCATCTCTCAGGTTCTGGCAGCGGGGATGAGCGAGTAGCCTTTGTGAACTTCCGGCGGCCAGAGGACGCGCGGGCGGCCAAGCATGCCAGAGGCCGCCTAGTGCTCTATGACCGGCCCCTGAAGATAGAAGCTGTGTATGTGAGTCGGCGCCGCAGCCGCTCCCCTTTAGACAAAGATTCTTATCCTCCATCAACCAGCGTGGTCGGGTCCTCCGTAGGTGGTCACCGGCACCCCCCTGGAGGAGGTGGTGGAGGCCAGAGATCGCTTTCTCCTGGTGGCGCAGCCTTGGGATACAGAGACTACCGGTTGCAGCAGTTGGCTCTTGGCCGCCTGCCCCCTCCACCTCCGCCACCATTGCCCCGAGAGCTGGAGAGAGAGCGAGACTACCCGTTCTACGAGAGAGTGCGACCAGCCTACAGTCTTGAGCCAAGGGTGGGAGCTGGAGCAGGTGCTGCTCCTTTCAGAGAAGTGGATGAGATCTCACCCGAGGATGATCAGCGAGCTAACCGGACGCTTTTCTTGGGCAACCTAGACATCACTGTGACAGAGAGTGACCTAAGAAGGGCTTTTGACCGTTTTGGAGTCATCACAGAAGTAGACATCAAGAGGCCTTCCCGGGGCCAGACCAGTACCTATGGCTTTCTCAAATTTGAGAACCTAGACATGTCTCACCGGGCCAAACTAGCAATGTCTGGCAAAATTATAATTCGGAATCCTATCAAAATTGGTTATGGCAAAGCTACACCTACCACCCGCCTCTGGGTAGGTGGCCTGGGTCCTTGGGTGCCCCTTGCTGCCCTGGCAAGGGAGTTTGACCGATTTGGCACCATCCGCACCATCGACTACCACAAAGGTGATAGCTGGGCATATATCCAGTACGAAAGCCTGGATGCAGCTCATGCTGCCTGGACCCATATGCGGGGCTTCCCACTTGGTGGCCCGGATCGTCGCCTTAGAGTAGACTTTGCAGACACAGAACATCGTTACCAGCAGCAATATTTGCAGCCTCTGCCCTTAACTCATTATGAACTGGTGACAGATGCTTTTGGACATCGGGCACCTGATCCTTTGAGGGGTGCTCGGGATAGGACGCCACCCTTACTATACAGAGATCGTGATAGAGATCTTTATCCCGACTCTGATTGGGTGCCACCCCCGCCCCCAGTCCGTGAACGCGGCACTCGGACTGCAGCCACTGCTGTGCCTGCTTATGAGCCACTGGATAGCCTGGATCGCAGGCGGGATGGCTGGTCCTTGGACCGGGACAGAGGTGAGCGAGATCTGCCCAGCAGCAGAGACCAACCGAGGAAGCGAAGGCTGCCTGAGGAGAGTGGGGGACGGCATTTGGATAGATCCCCTGAGAGTGACCGTCCACGAAAACGTCACTGCGCGCCTTCTCCTGACCGCAGTCCAGAATTGAGCAGTAGCCGGGATCGCTACAACAGCGACAATGATCGCTCTTCCCGTCTTCTTCTCTTGGAAAGGCCCTCTCCAATCAGAGACAGACGAGGTAGTTTGGAGAAGAGCCAGGGTGACAAGCGAGACCGTAAAAACTCTGCATCAGCTGAACGGGATAGGAAGCACCGGACAGCTGCTTCCACTGAGGGGAAAAGCCCTCTGAAAAAAGAAGACCGGTCTGATGGGAGCGCACCCAGCACCAGCACTGCTTCATCGAAGCTGAAGTCCCCTTCCCAGAAACAGGATGGTGGGACAGCCCCTACAGCAGCAGCCTCTCCCAAACTCTGTTTGGCCTGGCAGGGCATGCTTCTGTTGAAGAATAGCAACTTTCCTTCCAACATGCATCTGTTGCAGGGTGACCTTCAAGTGGCTAGTAGTCTTCTTGTGGAGGGCTCAACTGGAGGCAAAGTGGCCCAGCTCAAGATCACTCAGCGTCTCCGTTTGGACCAGCCCAAGTTGGATGAAGTCACTCGACGCATCAAAGTGGCAGGGCCCAATGGTTATGCCATTCTTCTGGCTGTGCCTGGAAGTTCTGATAGGTCTTCCTCTTCCTCAGCCACATCAGACACTGCCACCTCTACTCAGAGGCCACTTAGGAACCTTGTGTCCTATTTAAAGCAAAAGCAGGCTGCTGGGGTCATCAGCCTCCCTGTTGGGGGCAACAAAGACAAGGAAAACACCGGGGTCCTTCATGCCTTCCCACCCTGTGAGTTCTCCCAGCAGTTCCTGGATTCCCCTGCCAAGGCACTGGCCAAATCTGAAGAAGATTACCTGGTCATGATCATTGTCCGTGGTGCGTCTTAAAAGTCCATGTGTAACTTGTATTTAGTACTTTGAAATGGTTGTTTTGTGATGTGTAATGGGATACAGCATAAGATGAAATTTTCTTTTTAGTTGTTTAGTTGTAGCTTTTTTCTGTTTTCTTTCTTTTTTTTTATATTTTTATAAACCTCTTTAAAATAGAAGTCAGGAGAGTTTAGCTATTATTTTAAGTGAAAGGGATGCCCTGAAGGTAGGCAGGCAGGCAGATGAATTTACCTTAATTAGGAGTTCCCACTCTTATGAGTAAGTTTCCCTCTTTTTCTCAGCTTTTTTCTTTTTTAACCTTGAGCTTAAAAAAAATCCTCAAAGTTACAAAACGAAAAATTTGAAAAGTCAAGATTTGGAGAACAAAGCCCACTGACGATATAAAACAATATACACCTAAAAATGGCTCGATTGGTGATGTAGGTAAATAATTCCTATACCTGAAATGTTACTTGTGTGGCTGAAATTTGATCAGGGGTCTCAGAAGTATCAGCTGGTAGATTGTATAGCATTATGATTATTTTAATCAAGCATTTGAGTGTTTCTCTACAGATACATGGCTTATTCCCAGAGAGTTTGCTTTCACATACCATTTTTATCATTAGTTCTCGAGTTCTGTATCCCGTATATGCACTTTTGGTTTGTAGCTGTAACTGTTCAGCAAAAATTGAGGAGTATGTTACAAACCACATGTCTTATGCTTACACTAGTATGCAGGAAGTGAGTAGGTGCTTTTAAAATCAGAATTCTTTGGTTAGTTATTGGTGTGTGGTGGTGTTTTTACTGACTTTCCCAGAGACATTTAGCAGGTACAGTTCTGATTTAATTGTGCATATTTCAAAACTTGTGTTTTTCATCAGAGATGAGTTTTTATTTTTGTATCCATTCAAATTCCTGATTTCAATAATAGAAAGAAGAGTTGTCTGCAGGCTCATAAGTCATCTTTTGTTTCAGTGGGCATTAATCAGCCATATCTGTGAAATTTTTTTAAGTCATCATAACATGCCTTTGACAAATGCTCTTTTAAAATTTTGCTTGTATTTTTATTTTCATATTTGAACAGTATTGATGACTTTACATTACTGAAAATGTTTTGAATATCTTTGAAATTTTGTGTTGCATATTTTCACTGGTGTCTAACTGCAGAGAATTGAAATGTCAGCTTAGGAAAACCCTTTTTTTAGTGTTTAATTTTCCCAGACACCTGGAATTCTTACAAAATACTTCAGCCCATCCTCACAGTTTTTATCAGAACTGAATATTATATCAACTTCTGGTTCCTAACAAGGGCTTTTGCTGCTTAGTGGGTGATTTTCTTGTTTGTCTTTTTTCATCTACCCAGCCACCTCCACCCCTAGTTTCTCAGGTCATTTGTAAGTATATTTCCCCCCTTGATTTAAATGCTGAGAACTTGAGCTAAGGCCATTGATATTTAGTTATGATTAGAAACTTGAGGACCTTTGGATCATGGTCATGTTTCTATTCTGTGTAAGTGACTTATTGAAAGCCTGGCAGAACCCAACTGTTTTCTTTCTGTTATCAAAGCTGATAGTTTTGAAATAGCACCAATAATAACCCAGGGAAACGTCATGTAATTTTTAATTGTCCGTTATGACAGGTGTAATGCATGTCAGCATGAAAGCCTCATCACTGCTGTGTCATCCTTTTTGGTTTTCACTATACATTTATAAATTTCCTTTTAAATTTGGAGGTTTTTGGGTTTTTTTGTTTTGTTTTTAAACTGGAAAAACTAGCCATTTTTGAGAGAAGAAATATACAAGGCTGTCTGCACAAAAGTTCTTGGTATGCCTGTAGGGTAAATTCTTGAAATCCTACAATTAAGGCTTTTGGTCTTTTTGTTTTTAAAAAGCTGTGCTTGATATGCTAATATGGAGTAGACACCTGTTCAGAGACTAGTGCAAGTGCGCAATCTGTGCATACATGGGGTCAGAGTACAATTTGTGGCTAGATACATTTTTCCAGTTTGAATAATCTCACTAACCATTAACTTTTGAATATCTTTTGATAAGATGGCTGGACAAATGATTTTACTCTTAGAGAGTGAAGTCCATGACATTTAATTTTACTCTAATCCAGAGTGTGTGTGGCTTTTTCTTCTTTTTTTCTTCTTTTCTTTTTTTCTTCTTTTTTTTAAAGTTGACGTGACAGCTTACTGAAGAGTACTGTGCTTTTTGCTCCATGTTTGTTTGAATCTTTATCTGACATCGCGGCTTTTGTTAGATCTGGGCAATTTGTGCTTCAGTGTTTTTGAAACAATGGCTTGATACCATTTCTAAATGTATGTATTATAACTAATTATGTTTAGTTTGGTGCTTACCTACAGAGTGCCATCATTCAGATGAATCTCTTACTTGTGTTGCCCATTCTGTTGTGCAGGTTTGTAATATTGGTGAACTACTTAAAGCTTCAGAGTGGAATGAAAGCAAAAGTAAAATTATCTGGTTCTAATTCTCATTAGCTAGAATTTCATAATCTCAACATTCGAAGTTCTTGGTAACAACCAGTTGTTTCTTTTACTTGAAAAAATATGTATTTGTTTAATTGATTTTTCTGGATCTCAATTCAAATGAATGGAAAGAATTTCTACAGTATATCATTAAATGACTTATTCAGTATTACTGGTAAAAAAACCCATCAAGCTAATTAAGATTTTTAGATCACAGTTTCAAAGTTTATGAAAAATTAAGCAATCATTTAGCTTCTAGCCAGTTTTTTAAAAAAATATAATTTTGTTGGTTGTACCTGGGATTCCTATAAAGAGTTTTCCTCACAAAAATTTAAATTCCTGGTTTGAGATGTATACTTTGACTCTCAATTGAGAGTTGATTGAGTTTTCCCTTTTAAGTATTACGTCTAAAAATCTCCATCCTCTGGCTGGTGTAAGCTTTTGTCACATTTTGAAGGTAATACACTCTGGCCCTTCTTAATTCAATTGGATCTTTTGAGATACAGTAGTAAAAGTAAGATGTGTGTTTGTTGCTTTCAGAGTTGAACACTTGTTTAGGTTTATTTAGAACCTATTTATGAGCAGATTTTCACTGACAGTTTTTGTTGTTTCTTGTTTCTTTAATTTTAAATCCACTTTCTTCAGAGTGAAATTGCTCATTATGCAGGTGCAGCTTGAACTGCAGTTTGGGTCCGTATAGGAGCCATTCACCAAAAACTCTGTGGTAACAGAACTGGGAAATCCTCTCGAGAAGAGGGCCTTAATGACCTTTTTTGTGAGACAATTTTTGGAGGGAATTCCTGGACATTTTTTTTTTCTGTCTCTGCCACAGCATCTGGTTTTGAGATAGGAGTTATGTATAAGAACAAGAAGAGCAGCTGACCCTGTTAACATGCTGGTTTTAGTGATGGTTGTAGTGATGTGCCCAAAGGGAGAAAGGATTTCAGGTAACCACGGTGAACTGTCAAGACTAATGAGTTTTATATGTATGGTGTAAACAGAGTTGGAATGTAAAAGTCTACAGTGTTCTTTAGCTGTTTAGCAATTATTTGTATGAGTGTTTTCTTAAAATAACAGCTGCTGTCTTTGGTAACACAGATGAAGGTGGATTTTTAAAAGGCTTTGTACCTTGACCCCTTTCTACAATAACGGAGTTAAGTCTGAATTGCTCCGTATAATTTACTGAATAGAAGATAGAGGGGGTAAAATTTGACTAAACTCCACCTTTTTATAGTTTCATCTTTTAAGTTATATTTAGAATATATTGATTATAAATTGATTATACACTTGCTTTTTCTGAAAATTATTTTGACGTTTTACTCAGTTACATGAGTACAAAGGATATTTTCAGTCCTATAATCCTCACTTAATTGCAGTCTTTAAAAAAAATCCACCCTATTCTACTTGTTGTCTATTCATACGGTAAATTCATTTCAAGGTGTGTGTCAGTGGGTATTATTGGTGCTTTTTGAAGTCAAGGTGAACTTTCCAGGAAGGTCTTGTTAACGTTATGTTCATCTATAATGGCATAGGGGAAATATATATATTTTTAATATTGTAAACATTTGTACTGAATAACCTTTTTTCCCCCCCCCGCAAGCAAAACTGGTGAACAACGGATGAAGATATGGAATTCAAAGCTCTAATGGACCTTTTTGAAGAGAAGTTGTGGCCTATGTGGAGTTTACATGGGCCTCTTGATGGAAGAAAGCTAATCTGTTTAGTATTTGTGCATTTTACTAAAATGGCAGCTTAAAGTTGTGTATCTGCTATTGTGATGCCAATGCCGGTGTTTTAAGTGGAAAAAATGACCTTGCTTTGTGCTGTGTACACAAGATTTCTGGAAAAGTAAAGAAAAACCCTTTTTATGGCTCACACAGCTTAAAAGTAGCTGTCACTCAAACGTGCGCTCACAGTTGAGCTGCTTTTGTTTTATTCTAAATAAATTGTTTCTTTTGAGGAAAATGTTTTTCTGCCTGGAAGTGAATTGACGGCAAACCTTTGACCCCTTTGTTTGCAGCCGAGGGGGTACTTGCTGCTGCTCAGATCTTGTCTGTCTTGAGCAAGAAGCAAGGAGACCATCATTTTGACTATCACAGTGTGTCGATTCTGAAGGATCACTAGTGTTACTGTGACCCCCTTTGTTTGCAGTGAAGGGGATCCTTTGCTTCTCAGTCCTCAACGTGATGGGGAAATGGTGCTGTTTGCTGGCACACAAGAAGCCGGGGCAAGCACCGCTAAGCCTCACCACAGTGCACAAGTCGGGGGCTTTGCTGGTTTGAAGAGCCGGAGTTGCTGAAATTTAAGTTTTGATTTATTTTGTTCACCCATCACGTTTGGCCTTAGTTTCATTTTTAATTTGAAGAGAAGTTTGAAATTGCTTTATCTTGCACTTAACATTTGCACCAAATTGCCAAAAGAAGGAGAAATGCTCCGCTTGCTTTTTAAATGTTAATGATGATGTTAATAAAGCCTTTCCTGACACATTTGAGGAGCTCCTCCATCTCCAGGGGCTTCTCACCAGAGTTATGCAGTGATGGGTTTAGTCTGAATGGATGAAGAGTTCCTGAGAGCTAGCGTTTGTAATTAGAACCGTTACTTGGTATCTGTGCCTTATTTGACCTGTGGTTCCACATGCCTTGGATGTGCATGCACCGTGACGGTTTCATAGGTACGAACGCACACTCAGGCCCGGTCACTTCGGTTGGTAGTACAGATTGTGAGGAAAAAATGGAGGCATCCTTAAGGAGGAAAAAGTATTTGCCTTTAGTTCCTGCATTATCCTGTACAGGGGCTCCTGAGCTTTGGAAGCTGTTTCCAGTACAGGAGAACAACTCCCCTGTTTGCAGCAGGAGACTTCGGTGCACAGTGACAACGCTGGAGTTCAAGAGGAAGCCAGCAGTGCTGCACCTTTGGCTTCAGACACCACTGTTGTTTGCCAGTTTTAAACTTAACTAGTTAAAAGACGAAGACCACCTTGAAATGCAGGCTTGTTGGGCTTGTTTTGAATTTTAACCTCGGATGGAAGAGCCCTAGTGCTGTCTGTCTCCATACGGGATGATGCTTTCTTAGGCAACAGGTGATTATCAACAAAGGATGCCACGCTTATACTCTGCAAGGTGGTGTTCCAGTGGCAAACAGCTGTATAAACTCTTGTAACAGGTAAGAGGGTTTTTAGAGGTCAAAAAATGCATTATGATTAATAGGGTGAGGGCTTTTAATGTTTTGGGGGTATGTTTCTTGACGGGAAGTCTTTAGGCACTCTGTTGCTGTTACTGGCTTCCTTCTCTCACCGAAGTGTTGCATTAACAAAGTTGGGGGACTGGACTTTTGTTCTGCTTGGTATTTTAATTTTTTTTAAGTTTTAAAATTTATTTTACCATTTGAAAACTTCTTTTGATGTGGGAGCCAAAGTATTAAAATCTTGGTTATAGATTTGGATCTACAGAATTTTGACATTTTCTGTTAACCATAACTTTAACTGTTGGTGGTGATTTGTTGATGCTGGAAGAACTTAACTGGTATAAAAATGTTGCTTGTTACAAACACTGATTTTAAACCTCCAAGTTTATATTTTAGTATATAGCAAAAAAAAAAAGTATACTGTCAGACTGGGAATGATAGATAATTTAGCGAAAATGGTTAGTTTTTTCTTTTCCCCACAAGGAGATTTATTTAATTATAAAATTAGCCACAGTGAGCTTTAGGGAAGTGAATGGGAAGTGTTGAGAAAAATCTGACTTAAAAAAAATTAACTTTTTTTTTTTTTTTAACATTGTCATTGTCTGTTTAGTCCTACCAGCGTCCTGAGCCCTTCCAGTCCCTCTGACATTAATCAAATGTGGGCTTTGGCAACTTAAAACAAGTACAACTTTTTTAGTGTATAATACAGCTTAGATTTCCTTGCTTTATTTTAAATGGGATCAAAAATTTTGAAAAGAATTTTTCTTTTTCATGAAACTTTTGTTGTTTGTCTCGTTCCAGAGGGGAAAAGTGAAGTACAGTGGTTTTCAGGTTCTCGGTATGTCATTTACAAGAATTTTAAAAACATCTGCTTATGAGTTGGCTGCCATTTATGAGTTAGCATTGCTAAATGATCTCATGCACATTTCTTTAAACAGTTTATACCTGTCGGAAATGTTAATTTCCAGTGTGTTTTCTTTTCTCTGGCTAGTCCATACTGAAAGCCCATTAAGTAGTTTTTCCAATTAGTAAAAAAATATTTAAAATCACCATAGCAATTTGAGGAAGACTGTGTTACGCTTCCTACATGTTTCTACATGTTTGGTGTCTTTCTAAGGTCTCAGGCTTCACCTCTCAAAAGCAAGAAAAAGATGTTGTATACAGGACATTTGTTTATTTGTATACGAAATCATGTCATGCAAAATGGATATGTACATAGCATGACAGTTTTTTGAAACTACTTACGAAATCGTTTTATTTCAAGCTGCACCATGAAGAAAAATGTTAATTGGGTTGAATGTTAGATCTAGAGTTCTGGTTTTATAAACTTGAAACTGCCCTTTTGAGTTATTTGTGTGGTTTTCCAGTGTCTTTTGTATGATCTAAATTTAGGACTCTTATAAAGGAAATAGTTCCAAGAAAACCTCTTGAGTTGACTTGTGCTCACTTTGAAAAGTCTGGTTGTATTAAGATTCAAAGTGGGGATTACTTCAACTTTAGTAAAACAACATAGATTTTATAAACTGCCACTTCTGTAGTTGAAGTCACATTTTTGTTTACAAGCTATTTATCTGAGGCACTTGTACTACATCTGTTTTTCTTTTTGCGATAGGATATATGGTTATGGTTTATCTGAACATCACCTCCATTTCCCATTTCAGTTTGCTCTTTAAGCTTTCCTGGTTAAAAGACCTTTCTACTTAAAAACTTGAATTATAGCCTAGTTCTAAGTTCTTAGCAGAGGAGTTTTATTGAATAACAAAATTCCTTCAAACCTCAGAAAGATTGTTGCTAAGAAGCAACCAAAAAAAGATTTTGGTCTTGAGGTAGAATTACTTAACATGTTTCTATAGCCAAATGCTGTGAAATGTATTAAGCATTCAGGTTGGCTTCCTGTATAAATTGAATGCTGGCTGTCTGTTTAAGAACTAAGATGCTGAGCATACAGAAGAAAGCATCAAACAGTCTCTACCCCTGTCAGCAACTTATACTCTAATTGGAGAAGCTAGATACAAACAGATATATAGTTAAATATCAGGGGAAGTTCACAGTTTAAGACAGCTATGGGAGATATGACACAGGCCAGTATTTGATCAATTGCTAATGGATTTTTACAGGTGATACGGGTATATGCATGGATATATGAACAATTTAAGCTGGGATGGTCAAGAAAGGCTTTACAAAATAATTTATTAGTTGGAGAAGAATATGGAATGGTGGAGGGAGATTGGGATTGCGATGTCAAGCAGACAGGAATGAATGATAATAAAACAGTTTGTTCATGAAGGGAAAGGATGCAGGCGGAGCCTAGAAAACTAGCAATATGGTTGAGTCAACAAAAATAGGGAATCCTGATAGGCAAGGCAGTTTTAGGTGGGAAATGAGGACGGATAGTCAGTTGGAGCATGCTATTGTAAAGCAACAGGACTGATAATATCAATCATTTATTAAATACTTAAGGCCAAACATTCTGCCAAGCCCTATCCACACATTGTCTCTTCCAGGTTTCACCATGGATCACAGTCTGATAGCTGGAAGTGATAGAGCCAGGGTTCTAACCAGGCTTTTGTTCTAGCTAGGGCTCTTGGTCACTGTACTGTCATAGCTCACTAAATTATTTGGGGAGATTGGAATGAGATGAAAGCTGCAAACTTGAGAAAATGTCTGGACAGAGGATTTCAAACTATAGTGTATCAGCATTTGGGGTTCTTGGGAAACATATAGGCCCTTGGCTCTAACCCGAGACATTCTGGGATTTGTTAAGGCCAGCATGGCCCAGGAGTCTTTGTTCTTTTACATGCTCCTCAGGTAATTCTGATGTAGTCTTTGGTCAGTCCACATGTTGAGCAACACTGGACCACAGAGAGTAGAGTGTTGAGGTGTAAACTTGGGGTAATGTCCCATTTAAGGCATGGGAAGGGAATATGGTGCTGGAAAAGAGGCTCAGGTAGGGGAGCCGGAATAGTGTTCAGATTCTGAAGCTGAGAGGAGGAGCTTCCAGAAGATAAATTCAAAGCTGTTGCAGAGAAAAGCAGAATGAAACTGTAAATGCCATGGAATTTATCACTTAAAATTGTCACTTAAGTAATAGTTTTATAATCATGTAATTATTTTTCCCAGGAATTCAATCTAGCTTAGTATTTAAATTTGCCTTATAACAGTCTGTGAAGAAGGGCCACTGTTTAGTTTATGAAATGTAAAGGTATACCAGAAGAGTTGTGTGACTTGGCTAAGGAGTACACAGCCAGAAGCTAGCTGATTGAGATATCCTTGAGTTTTCAGTTAATCTAAAAAATAGTGTGATTGTAGTCTATCTTAAAAATGACAGTGATTCTAGGATTGAGTGAGTATATGTGTATGTACACATGTAAATTGTTTTCTACAAGTGAACCATGTCTACTACCTTCTAACTAAGTTACTAAAGGATTGAGACACAATGGAATTATAGGTAAAGCTGAATGTATCTTTGACTTGTAAATGGTTGAAAGATTTCTTATTTTGAATTATCTATACAAAGTTTATCTTTGATGTAGCTAATTATTTAAGTTCTTCAAATATTTAGGTACCTACCAAGCAGTATTCTAGATTGTGGGAGTATATTGGTGAAGAAAAAAGACAAGTTTCTTATTTCTCATGGAGCTTATATTCTGATAGAAGGGAGGTAGTACACTAAGTTAGGGTCTTGTTGCTAAGGACAGAGGGTTTAGACTGTATTCTGAAGCTGAATGCAGTGGAAAGCAGTTGGAGGTTTTAAACAGGGGAATGAAGTGATTTGATCTAGATTTG